GAGGAGGAGGGTAGTGGTGCAGAGGAGGAGGGTAGTGGTGCAGAGGAGGAGGGTAGTGGTGCAGAGGAGGAGGGTAGTGGTGCAAAGGAGGAGGGTAGTGGTGCAGAGGAGGAGGGTAGTGGTGCAGAGGAGGAGGAAGGTAGTGATGCAGAGGAGGAGGGTAGTGGTGGAGAGGAGGAGGAAGGTAGTGGTGCAGAGGAGGAGGGTAGTGGTACAGAGGAGGAGGGTAGTGGTGGAGAGGAGGAGGAGGGTAGTGGTGCAGAGGAGGAGGGTAGTGGTACAGAGGAGGAGGATATGGTGGAAAGGAAGAGGAGGGTAGTGGTGCAGAGGAGGAGGAGGAGGGTAGTGGTGCAGAGGAGTAGGAGGGTAGTGGTACAGAGGAAGAGGAGGCTAGTGGTGCAGAGGAGGAGGAGGAGGGTAGTGGAACAGAGGAAGAGGAGGGTAGTGGTGCAGAGCATAGGAAGGGTAGTGGTGCAGAGGAGGAGGAGAGTAGAGGTGCAGAGAAGGGGCAGGGTAGTGGTGCAGAGGAGAGAAGTTGTGCAGAGGAGGAGGAGGGTAGTAGCGCAGAGGACGTTTAAGGAATGGTGCAGAGGGGGAGGGTAGTGGTGCAGAGGAGGAGGGTGTTGGAGTAGAGGAGGAGGAGGGTAGTGGTGCAGAGGAGGAGGAGGGTAGTGGTGCAGAGGAGGAGGAGGGTAGTGGTGCAGAGGAGGGGGAGGGTAATGGTGCAGAGGAGGAGGGTAGTGGTGCGGAGGAAGAGGAGGGTAGTGGTGCAGAGGAGGAGGGTAGTGGTGCAGAGGAGGAGGAGGGTAGTGGTGCAAAGGAGTAGGAGGGTAGTGGTGCAGAGGGGAGGAGGGTAGTGGTGCAGAGGAGGAGGAGGGTAGTGGTGCAGAGGAGGAGGAGGGTAGTGGTGCAGAGGAGGAGGGTAGTGGTGCAGAGGAGGAGGAGGGTAGTGGTGCAGAGGAGGAGGAGGGTAGTGGTGTGGAGGAAGAGGAGGGTAGTGGTGCAGAGGAGGAGGGTAGTGGTGCAGAGGAGGAGGAGGAGGAGGGTAGTGGTACAAAGGAGTAGGAGGGTAGTGGTGCAGAGGGGAGGAGGGTAGTGGTGCAGAGGAGGAGGAGGGTAGTGGTGGAGAGGAGGAGGAGGGTAGTGGTGCAGAGGAGGGTAGTGGTGCAGAGGAGGAGGAGGGTAGTGGTGCAGAGGGGAGGAGGGTAGTGGTGCAGAGGAGGAGGAGGGTAGTGGTGGAGAGGAGGAGGAGGGTAGTGGTGCAGAGGAGGAGGAGGGTAGTGGTGCAGAGGAGGAGGAGGGTAGTGGTGCAGAGGAGGAGGAGGGCAGTGGTGCAGAGGAGGAGGAGGGTAGTGGTGCAGAGGAGGAGGGTAGTGGTGCGGAGGAAGAGGAGGGTAGTGGTGCAGAGGAGGAGGGTAGTGGTGCAGAGGAGGAGGAGGAGGGTAGTGGTGCATAGGAGGAGGAGGGTAGTGGTGCAGAGTAGGAGGAGGGTAGTGGTGCAGAGGAGGAGGAGGGTAGTGGTGCGGAGGAGGAGGAGGGTAGTGGTGCAGAGGAGGAGGAGGGTAGTGGTGCGGAGGAGGAGGAGGAGGGTAGTTGTGCAGAGGAGGAGGATAGTGGTGTAGAGGAGGTGGAGGGTAGTGGTGAGAGGAGGATGAGGGTAGTGGTGCAGAGGAGGAAGAGGGTAGTGGTGCAGAGGAGGAGGAGGAGGAGGGGGGTAGTGATGCAGAGGAGGAGGAGGAGGGTTGTGGTGCAGAGGAGGAGGAGGGTAGTGGTGCAGAGGGGGAGGGTAGAGGTCCAGAGGAGTAGGAGGGTAGTGGAGCAGAGGAGAAGGGAAGAGGTGCAGAGGAGAAGGAGGGTAGTTGTGCAGAGGAGGAGAGTAGTGTTGCAGAGGAGGAGGAGGGTAGTGGTGCAGAGGAGGAGGGTAGTCGTGCAGAGGAGGGTAGTGGTGCAGAGGACGTGGAGGGTAGTGGTGCAGAGGAGGAGGGTAGTGGTGCAGAGGAGGAGGAGGGTAGTGGTGTAGAGGAGGAGGGTTGTGGTGCAGAGGAGGGGGAGGGTAGTGAGTGCAGAGGAGAAGGGTAGTGGTGCAGAGGGAGAGGGAAGTGGTGCTGAGGAGGAGGGTAGTGGTGCAGAGGAGGAGGGTAGTGGTGCAAAGGAGAAGTGTATGGTGCAGAGGAGGAGGGTAGTGGTGCAGAGGAGGAGGAGGGTAGTGGTGCAGAGGAGGAGGGTAGTGGTGCAGAGGAGGAGGGTAGTGGTGCAAAGGAGAAGTGTATGGTGCAGAGGAGGAGGGTAGTGGTGCAGAGGAGGAGGAGGGTAGTGGTGCAGAGGAGGAGGAGGGTAGTGTGTGTGGAGGAAGAGGAGGGTAGTGGTGCAGAGGAGGAGGGTAGTGGTGCAGAGGAGGAGGAGGAGGAGGGTAGTGGTACAAAGGAGTAGGAGGGTAGTGGTGCAGAGGGGAGGAGGGTAGTGGTGCAGAGGAGGAGGAGGGTAGTGGTGGAGAGGAGGAGGAGGGTAGTGGTGCAGAGGAGGGTAGTGGTGCAGAGGAGGAGGAGGGTAGTGGTGCAGAGGGGAGGAGGGTAGTGGTGCAGAGGAGGAGGAGGGTAGTGGTGGAGAGGAGGAGGAGGGTAGTGGTGCAGAGGAGGAGGAGGGTAGTGGTGCAGAGGAGGAGGAGGGTAGTGGTGCAGAGGAGGAGGAGGGGAGTGGGGCAGAGGAGGAGGAGGGTAGTGGTGCAGAGGAGGAGGGTAGTGGTGCGGAGGAAGAGGAGGGTAGTGGTGCAGAGGAGGAGGGTAGTGGTGCAGAGGAGGAGGAGGAGGGTAGTGGTGCATAGGAGTAGGAGGGTAGTGGTGCAGAGTAGGAGGAGGGTAGTGGTGCAGAGGAGGAGGAGGGTAGTGGTGCGGAGGAGGAGGAGGGTAGTGGTGCAGAGGAGGAGGAGGGTAGTGGTGCGGAGGAGGAGGAGGGTAGTGGTGCAGAGGAGGAGGATAGTGGTGTAGAGGAGGTGGAGGGTAGTGGTGAGAGGAGGATGAGGGTAGTGGTGCAGAGGAGGAAGAGGGTAGTGGTGCAGAGGAGGAGGAGGAGGAGGGTAGTGATGCAGAGGAGGAGGAGGAGGGTAGTGGTGCAGAGGAGGAGGAGGGTAGTGGTGCAGAGGGGGAGGGTAGAGGTCCAGAGGAGTAGGAGGGTAGTGGAGCAGAGGAGAAGGGAAGAGGTGCAGAGGAGAAGGAGGGTAGTTGTGCAGAGGAGGAGAGTAGTGTTGCAGAGGAGGAGGAGGGTAGTGGTGCAGAGGAGGAGGGTAGTGGTGCAGAGGAGGAGGGTAGTGGTGCAGAGGACGTGGAGGGTAGTGGTGCAGAGGAGGAGGGTAGTGGTGCAGAGGAGGAGGAGGGTAGTGGTTAGAGGAGGAGGGTTGTGGTGCAGAGGAGGGGGAGGGTAGTGAGTGCAGAGGAGAAGGGTAGTGGTGCAGAGGGAGAGGGAAGTGGTGCTGAGGAGGAGGGTAGTGGTGCAGAGGAGGAGGGTAGTGGTGCAAAGGAGAAGTGTATGGTGCAGAGGAGGAGGGTAGTGGTGCAGAGGAGGAGGAGGGTAGTGGTGCAGAGGAGGAGGGTAGTGGTGCAGAGGAGGAGGGTAGTGGTGCAAAGGAGAAGTGTATGGTGCAGAGGAGGAGGGTAGTGGTGCAGAGGAGGAGGAGGGTAGTGGTGCAGAGGTGGAGGAGGGTAGTGGAGCAGAGGAGGAGGAGGGTAGTGGTGCAGAGTAGGAGGAGGGTAGTGGTGCAGAGGTGGAGGAGGGTAGTGGAGCAGAGGAGGAGGAGGATAGTGGTGCAGAGGAGGAGGAGGGTAGTTGTGCACAGGTGGAGGAGGGTAGTTGTGCACAGGTGGAGGAGGGTAGTGGAGCAGAGCCAGATACCATAAACCACCACAACCTCAACCACCATTAACATTAACCACCCCTACCACTAATCACAACCATCAGCCACCACAATTACCAACCACAGCAATCAACCACTATCACTAACCAAACCACACCTGGCTACTCTCCCCACCCACACCTGTAGATGAGAGGGAACACGGAAGCCCACACCTGGCTACTCTCCCCACCCACACCTGTAGATGAGAGGGGAAGCCCACACCTGGCTACCACACCTGCACACACTAAAGCCCACACCTGGCTACTCTCCCGACCCACACCTGCACATGATAGGAAACACTAAAGCCCACACCTGGCTACTCTCCCACCCACACCTGCAGATGGAACACGGAAAACCACACCTGGCTACTCTCCCACCCACACCTGCAGATGGGAAGGAACACGGAAAACCACACCTGGCTACTCTCCCCACCCACACCTGCAGATGGGAAGGAACACGGAAACCACCACACCTGGCTACTGTCCTCACCCACACCTGCAGATGGGAAGGAACACGGAAGCCTACACCTGGCTAATCTCCCGACTACACCTGTAGATGAGAGGGAACACTAAAGCCCATACCTGGCTACTCTCCCCACCCACACCTGCATATGAGAGGGAACACTAAAGCCCACACCTGGCTACTCTCCCCACTCACACCTGCACACGAGAGGGAACACGGAAGCCCACACCTGGCTACTCTCCCGACCCACACCTGCACATGAGAGGGAACACTAAAGCCCACACCTGGCTACTCTCCCCACCCACACCTGCACATGAGAGGGAACACTAAAGCCCACACCTGGCTACTCTCCCCACCCACACCTGTCTATGTCACACACTCATGCCAAAGAAAACTTATATCAAGTAAATCTAGCTTGTATTAAGCAAGACAATGTTGGGCTAAATATTGATCAGTGTTATCTTATAAGCAGTGAAGCTTGCTTAATGAATATTCTTGGTCGCTAAACGGTGCTCAAAGTTACTCAAGAAGCCTTATAAGTTCTCTAATTCATGACTTTTAATGTAAAAATATTTTTGAAACCACTGGAAGCACTGTGAATTAAACAACTGAGTTACAGATATTCACGTGTTAAAATGTAGCCAATACGTACTGGTGAGACGCCTGTCACGGAAGACCAGGCCACTATACCCTCCTCTTGAGAGAGGACACAGCTGAGCCACCAGGTGGCAACACCAGTCTATGGCGGGGTCGTCATCAGTGAGGTCCCGCCTGATGGTCAGGCGGAGCTCCCTTCCCTGGTACGGCAGAGTGTCCAGGGTGTCCGGGTCCACGTAGCCCGTGGCGTCCAGGGTGTCCGGGTCCACGTAGCCCGTGGCGTCCAGGGTGTCCGGGTCCACGTAGCCCGTGGCGTCCAGGGTGTCCGGGTCCACGTAGCCCGTGGCGTCCAGGCCAATGCCTGAAGACATACACTGAGATACAGTCACCGTCGTTACTGGTATGTTCTAAGATATAACAAGAAGACATACTGAGCCATCCACTCACCTTACTGCTGGGTTTATTACCTGATGACAAGTCCGTATTTTGGACAGTATTAATAGCATCTAAACTATGTATTAATAGCTTTTAAAAGCCACGGTCAAGGTCATCTGTATCAATGGTCAAGGTCATCTGTATCATGGTCAAGGTCACAGTCAAGGTTATCTGTATCAATTGTCAAGGTCACAGTCAAGGTCATCTGTATCAATTGTCAAGGTCACAGTCAAGGTAATCTGTATCAATGGTCAAGGTCACAGTCAAGGTCATCTGTATCAATGGTCAAGGTCACAGTCAAGGTCATCTATATCAATGGTCAAGGTCATCTGTGCCAATGGTCAAGGTCATCTGTATCAATGGTCAAGGTCACAGTCAAGGTCATCTATATCAATGGTCAAGGTCATCTGTGCCAATGGTCAAGGTCATCTGTATCAATGGTCAAGGTCACAGTCAAGGTCATCTATATCAATGGTCAAGGTCATCTGTGCCAATGGTCAAGGTCATCTGTATCAATGGTCAAGGTCACAGACATGGTCATCTTTATCAATGGTCAAGGTCTCATTAGAAGGTCATATAAACTAAGTCAAGGTCACAGTGAAAGGTCATCTGGACCAAGTATCAAGGTCACAGGGATAGATGGGTCACCTGAATTAAGGATCAAAGTTACGGAAGGTCTAATTAACCAAGGGATCAAGGTCACAGTGAAAGGTCATCTTAAACAGGAATTAGGTCAGTGTGAAAGGTCATCTTGAAAAGGAATTAGGTCACAGTGAAAGGTCATCTTAAACAGGAATTAGGTCACAGTGAAAGGTCATCTTAAACAGGAATTAGGTCACAGTGAAAGGTCATCTTGAACAGGAATTAGGTCACAGTGAAAGGTCATCCTGAACAAGAATTAGGTCACAGTGAAAGGTCATCCTGAACAAGAATTAGGTCACAGTGAAAGGTCATCTTGAACAGGAATTAGGTCACAGTGAAAGGTCATCTTGAACAAGAATTAGGTCACAGTGAAAGGTCAACTTGAACAGGAATTAGGTCATCAGCGGCATATGCTAGACTGGCCAACATAAGAACTGCCTTTAGAAACTTGTGTAAGGAATCTTTCAGAACCCTGTATACCACTTATGTAAGACCAATCCTGGAGTATGCAGCTCCAGCCTGGAGTCCATACCTAGTTAAACACAAGACAAAGTTAGAGAAGATTCAGCGGTATGCCACCAGGCTCGTCCCGGAACTGAGAGGATTGAGCTACGAGGAAAGGCTAAAGGAGCTGAACCTCACATCCCTGGAAAACAGAAGAGTAAGGGGAGACATGATAACCACCTACAAGATTCTCAGGGGAATTGAGAGGGTGGACAAAGACAAACTCTTCAGCACGGGTGGGACACGAACAAGGGGACACAGGTGGAAACTTAGTACCCAGATGAGCCACAGAGACGTTAGAAAGAATTTTTTCAGTGTCAGAGTAGTTAATAAATGGAATGCATTAGGCAGTGATGTGGTGGAGGCTGACTCCATACACAGTTTCAAATGTAGGTATGATAGAGCCCAGTAGGCTCAGGAATCTGTACACCAGTTGATTGACGGTTGAGAGGCGGGACCAAAGAGCCAGAGCTCAACCCCCGCAAGCACAATTAGGTGAGTACAATTAGGTGAGTACAGTGAAAGGTCATCTTGAAAAGGAATTAGGTCACAGTGAAAGGTCATCTTGAACAGGAATTAGGCCACAGTGAAAGGTCATCCTGAACAGGAATTAGGCCACAGTGAAAGGTCATCTTGAACAGGAATTAGGTCACAGTGAAAGGTCATCTTGAACAGGAATTAGGTCACAGTGAAAGGTCATCTTGAACAGGAATTAGGCCACAGTGAAAGGTCATCTTGAACAGGAATTAGGCCACAGTGAAAGGTCATCTTGAACAGGAATTAGGCCACAGTGAAAGGTCATCTTGAACAGGAATTAGGTCACAGTGAAAGGTCATCTTGAACAGGAATTAGGTCACAGTGAAAGGTCATCTTGAACAGGAATTAGGTCACAGTAAAAGGTCATCTTGAACAGGAATTAGGTCACAGTGAAAGGTCATCTTGAACAGGAATTAGGTCACAGTGAAAGGTCATCTTGAACAGGAATTAGGTCACAGTGAAAGGTCATCCTGAACAGGAATTAGGCCACAGTGAAAGGTCATCCTGAACAGGAATTAGGTCACAGTGAAAGGTCATCCTGAACAGGAATTAGGTCACAGTGAAAGGTCATCTTGAACAGGAATTAGGTCACAGTGAAAGGTCATCTTGAACAGGAATTAGGTCACAGTGAAAGGTCATCCTGAACAGGAATTAGGTCACAGTGAAAGGTCATCTTGAACAGGAATTAGGTCACAGCAAAAGGTCATCTTGAACAGGAATTAGGTTACAGTGAAAGGTCATCTTGAACAGGTATTAGGTCACAGTGAATGGTCATCTTAAACAGGAATTAGGTCACAGTGAATGGTCATCTTAAACAGGAATTAGGTCACAGTGAAAGGAGATCTGTACCACGAGTCAAAGTCAAAGTGGTAAGTCATCTGAACCAAAAGTATGGCGTCACTAAATACTTCATGAAATTATTTATACACAAGAATATATACAGCAGCGGAATGTTTCGAAATTTTATTATTCATAAAGTAGTCGCCCTTAATAAGACTATATTTGTAATCAAAGTTGAAGGTTTGTCATCCTTAAGGTGATTATTTTTGTAAACAATGTAAGGGGTTTGTCACTCTTAAGGTGACTATATTCGTAAACAATGTTGTGGGTTTGTGACTATTAAGGTGACTATATTTGCCAACAATCTATGGGGTTTATCACCCTAATGTGACATTATTTATTAACAATGTAGGGGGGTTTGTCGCTCGCAAGGTGACTATATTTGCTAACATTGAAGAGGTTTATCGCCCGTTCGGGAACTATATTTGTAAGCAATGTAGAGGGTTTGTCAACGTTAAAGTGACTATATTTGTAAACAATATAAGGGACTTGTTATCCATAAAGTGACTATATTTGTAAACAACATAAGGTGTTTGTCGTCCATAAGGTGACTATATGTTTGTAAACAATATAAGGTGTTGACCTCCTCATGGTGACAATATGTTTGTTAACAATATAAGGTGTTTTTCGCCCATAAGGTTGTAACTATATTTGTAAACAATGTAAGTCTAAATTACTATATTAAACATGACGAATGAAGCCCATTGCTTGGTTTTGGTATTTAAAAACACCCTAAAAATTATGGTGGAAAATATGAATATTTACCAAGAGTCATGCAAGTGAGGAAGGTGAGGCAGGTGACGGAAGAGGACGGGCAGTTGGACGGGCAGTTGCTGTAGTGTGAGGTACAGGTGAGGCTCTCGAGGGTGTGAGGCAGGAGGGGTATGGCTGCCTCAGACAAGCCACCATCAAACCCCTCTAAGGTACACTTACTGCCGGGGGCTGTCAGCCTCTCCAAACATTGTTTTGATATCAATATTTCTCTCTTTGCTGTCTAAACTATAGTCAAGATTTAAGCATATGGTTACCATCCATTTTTGCCAGCACTGACAGTGTAGACAGGTGCTGCTTTAGTGGGGATGGATCGTTTATGATTAGGTAAATGTTCTTAGGTGTCACTTTCTTAAGAACAAGCGGCAGGACAACACACGAGTCAACACTCCATATTGTCCACTCTTGTTCTGTACGCAGCTTCTCACACACGGCTTGGATGACGTGCTCACTCCCGCGGGACTCTGCTACATGCTTCAACAGCTCGTCAGTCTCAAGTGTAACCATCTTGCACAGGTCAATTATGTGAGTAATGAACTTGTGCTCTACTCCCCGGGCACACAGCACCCCGGTAGTGCTGACTAAAATGTTCTCCCATCTGGGGCGCTCCTTAAACTCTTGTTGCACGTCGCTAATATCAAACTTTGACCCTCTCAGGTGATCTCCCAAGGAGCGTTTTTCCTTACGTACAACATCCACCAAGAGGTCAATGATTATAGAGCTTTTCCCTGACACACGGTGTGATGCTGGATCACCTCGGTCTTGCTCAGCCCTCAACAAGAGAGCGACCAGCCCCCTGCTGGCACAATACTCCTGGTACCTGGCGTGAAAATAGCCAAACACCCACACCACATTGAGGCCCCGACGGTAGCTGGTTCTTGTGAAATAGTTGGACAAGACCTCCTCCTGTGGCAGTCCCAGAGTGTCACACTTCTCCCTAATCTCCGCTTCCGTCTCCGGCCAAAGGTCGTATTCCTGCCTCTGGATCCCTCTTAAACTAATCTCTTCATAGAACAACAGAAACTGGTCACATTTTCCTTTGGGGTCCACCACATGTTTGTCTGTGAGTCTGGACACCAGTTTACTGGTTATGAAGTCATGAATCTTCTCGTAGACTTGAGTGTTTGTGGTGAGGTTGTTAAATTCTTCTGGAGCCTCGACACACAGCAGCGCCAACAAGGTCAAGGTGAGTGGAGTGTTGAGGTACTCACCCAGGAACTGACTCATCTGCTCCAGCCGCTGGGTAAACCTCCCTGTGATGACACTCCGTTGGCTCTCTTCCTCCACCAGCACCTTGATGGTTCTCTCGGCGAACTCCACGCGACGTTCTGGAGTGATGCCCAAGACGAGGATGTTGCAGCGAGGTCTGGTGTGTGGGACGAGCTGTGACAGTTGTTGGTCCCACCCCGGCCGTGTGGTTATCACCAACCTCACATCCTTGCCAGGCAGGTGCAACAGCTCCTTCACCAGCCTTCCTGAATGGTCGTTGACCTCGTCGTAGCCGTCAATCAGGACTAATATATTTAAGCTCAAGATTATCTCCTTAAACAGCTGGAAGTCGGCACCAGAATCACTAAGTGCTTGAGGCAGCAACTGGCGGAGGAGATCATCGAAGGTATTAAGATGTGAGTCCCTGCACTGTACATAGAAAACGAGGTCCACAGTGCCCAGGTGACGTATGGCATCAGGGTCCTCTACCCACTTCTCGAGGATGAGCTTGAGTAAAGTTGTCTTGCCCATACCACCTTCCCCCATCAGGAGGACACACTCAGGGACTCTTCCCTTCTCTCGTCTCATGCTCAAGATGTCTTCATAGTTTATATCCTGACCCTTGGCAGCGTGGGAGGGTCTTGTGCTATCCTGACCCTTGGCAGCGTGGGAGGGTCTTGTGCTATCCTGACCCTTGGCAGCGTGGGAGGGTCTTGTGCTATCCTGACCCTTGGCAGCGTGGGAGGGTCTTGCCCCTATGACGGGATCTTCAAGGAGTCGCAGTCGTGTAAAAGCAAGACTTGGGTTGTAGTTAATGTTGAGGAGGAGCCAGGGTGCGGGAACAATCTGGTACAGCAGTCTATACCCGTCAGTTAACTCTTGCTTGCTCATCTGCTTAACTTCTTCTGTGATGTGGCTTCTGAACATCTTAATCTCCTGGCGGAGCTGAGGCAAGTACGCCACATCTGAGGGATCCAACGGCTCTCTGACCTTCGCTAGCAGACCACCAATATACTTGGTGACATCTCTGGTCACGTGGTCCACATCCTGGCTGTTTGTCCTACACCGGACGCCGGCCTCAGCCAGCATCTTGGCCAATAAGTCACTGAGCTCCGTCAGTGTTGACGTAAGATCTTGCTCTGACATTCCCACATTATCATGGGCCAACGTGTTTCGGCGTTGCTTCAGGCTATAAATGAGGTGTTCAAGTGATGGTCCCTGAGGCCCTGGAGTGGTCCACGTTGGGTCATTCATCTCAGCCAGACCACACACACGTTGCAGGAGTTTATACAACAGGGTGATGTCAAAAGTTGCCGCGTCAGAGGAAGCTTCGAGTTTATCCCTCTGGTGATCATCGAAGACACGCCTGTACTGAGCATTGGTGTACCCCAAGTCCTGAGTGAGGTAAGTCACTACTGGGAAGGCGCCCCGGTACGACCACATAAACACACTTGCTAGCGCGTCTCGTCCTGCCTTAGTCACAGCCAGTCCATACCGCAGTCTGTTCACATCTTCCGGTTGGATAACAGGACTCGAGGCCGCCATATTGGGCCGTATGATTCTCACCTCACACAACTGTTGTCAAGTTTCACACAAGCAGTAAATGTCCCACGCTGGTTTTGTTATTATATGTTTAAAAACATAACATTGTTTCCCACTGTCGGAGACGGGCAGCTTGTTAGGCTTGTGTAGGCCTTCCTAAGCCAACGACAGACCTTCCTCAGGAAGCATCCCTCAACAGTTGACTAATTTCCAGGTTAATGTTTACTGCTAGGTGAACAGAGGTATCAGGAGGCTGAGCATCTCACACTGTCAGGGAATCAAACTCTGTGATGATCCGACTGCATTAACCATAATACAGTAACTTAATTTACCAAAAATATAAGTGATTTCCAAAAAAATCCAATTTTACTAAATGTTTTCACATGTTAATGCAATATTTGGTTCCAGCTTTATTTGTTATTTTCAAATTGTTCTTTAACTAGTTAATTTCTTCTGTCTTTATACTCTTCAGATTTCTGTCATCTGGAAGAACAATTTAACGTTATTAAAACAAGATGTTAGTGTTAAACATTGGGTCAGAAATACATTTTTGAGATCACTAAAACAAATAAAGTTCCAAAGTCTGCCTCCTGCATTTTGTTATATTTTATAACTTAAAACTTGTCAATATTTTGACCTAACTCCTGTGATCATTGTGGTGTTGGCTTCTGGTTTAGGTAGAGTAATGGTGCTCATTTTCTCACACAGAAATATACGGTGTAGCATTTAGTAATGTTATTCTCTGCCTTTATCTTGCTCTTGTAAGGACCTATTTAGATTATGCAGTTCAGTTTGGTCAACATACAATATACTGGACATAATTTGACTTGAACCCATAAAAGAGAAGAATGACAAAGTTGATCTCAGGAATTAAAAATCTCCATTATTAAAAGAGATTAAGGAAGCTATGTTTACACATTCTTCGAAAAGTATAGTTGATATTATTGATGTTGTCAAAAGGATGAAAAGTTATATCGAAGGTAGTAATAATAAGTTGTTAACTATATCAACACAAAATAGAACAAGAAATGATAAATCTGTATTAATAAGAAATAATGTCTGCTTCTCTGTCTATGCGAGCTAGAAGACCCTACTCAGGGAGCCTCACCTAATTTCTAACAGTAATTCCTGCTGGGTATGTGCCCAACAGGGCATGGCATATATGTAGGGAGTACAACTTTAAAGAGTACCAAAGCTACCCCCCACCACGAACTTTGCTATATCATATTAATTAGGCTTTGAATTATTTATTTATTTTCTTGCAAGGGTTCCCATCTGAGCTTCTGTGTAGATCGCCCTCTCCCACTCCGCTCTCTTGTGGACAATATTCACAGTATAATGTTAACAACTTACATGGAGTTTACTACAAGTAAACTTCCGTCCCCTGAGAGTCTCTTATAGGAGCAATGATGGCGGGCCGCGTAGAGGCTCATCATATAAAATGGCCGCCTAGAGGCACATAAAATGGCCGCCTAGAGGTGCATAAGGGGCAGCCTAGAGGCACATAAAGAGCCGCCATATAAAAAAGGCACATAAAGGGGCCGCCAGAAGCACATAAAATGGCCGCCTAGAGGCACATAAAATGGCCGCCTAGAGGCACATAAAGGGGCCGCCTAGAGGTGCATAAGAGGCAGCCTAGAGGTACATAAAAGGGTCCGCCTAGAGGCACATAGAAATGGCCGCCTAGAGGCACATAAAGAGCCCCTCTCACATGAGATGTTATCTTGAGATGATTTCGGGGCTTTTTTAGTGTCCCCGCGGCCCGGTCCTCGACCAGGCCCGTGACAGCTGACATACTCCCAGGTACCTATTTATTGCACTCCCAGGTACCTAATTGCTAGGTAACAGGGGCATTCAGGGCGAAAGAAACTTTGCCCATTTGTTTCTGCCTCGTGCGGGAATCGAATCCGCGCCACAGAATTACGAGTCCTGCGCGCTATCCACCAGGCTACGAAGCCACTTAAAATAGCTGCCTAGACGTGTATAAAGGGCCACGTAGAGGTAAATAAAGGGGCCACCTAAAGGCACATAAAAGGCCGCCTAGAGGTACATAAAGGGCCGCCTAGAGGTACATAAAGGGCCGCCTAGAGGTGCATTAAAGGGCCGCCTAGAGGTGCATAAAAGGGCCGCCTAGAGGTGCATAAAAGGGCCGCCTAGAGGCACATAAAAGGCCGCCTAGATGCACATAAAGGACCGCCTATAGGCAAATAAAATGGATGCCTAGAGGTGCATAAAAGGGAAGCCTAGAGGCCCATAAAGGGCTGCCTAGAGGTACATAAAGGGCCCACCTAAAGTCACATAAAAGGCCGCCTAGATGCACATAAAGGGCCGCCTAGAGGCACATAAAATGGCCGCCTAGAGGCACATAAAATGGCCGCCTAGAGGCACATAAAGGGCAGCCTAGAGGTACATAAAGGGCCGCCTACAGGTATATAAAGGGCAGCCTAGAGGCACATAAAGGAGCCGCCTAGAGGCACATAAAGGGCTGCCTAGAGGCACATAAAGGGGCCGCCTAGAGGCACATAAAGGGCCGCCTAGAGGCACATAAAAGAGCCGCCTAGAGGTACATAAAGGGCCGCCTAGAGGTACATAAAAGGCCGCCTAGAGGCACATAAAGGGCCGCCTAGAGGCACATAAAGGGCCGCCTAGAGGTACATAAAGGGCCGCCTAGAGGCACATAAAGGGCCGCCTAGAGGTACATAAAGGGCCGCCTAGAGGCACATAAAGGGCCGCCTAGAGGCGCATAAAGGGCCGCCTAGAGGCACATAAAGGGCCGCCTAGAGGCACATAAAGGGCCGCCTAGAGGCACATAGAGGGCCGCCTAGAGGCACATAAAGGGGCTGCCTTGAAGCACATAAAGGGCCGCCTAGAGATACATAAAGGGCCGCCTAGAGGCGCATAAAGGGCCGCCTAGACGCACATAAAGGGGCCGCCTAGAGGCGCATAAAGGGCCGCCTAGAGGTACATAAAGGGGCCACCTAGAGGTACATAAAGGGCCGCCTAGAGGCACATAAAGGGGCCGCCTAGAGGTACATAAAGGGCCGCCTAGAGGTACATAAAGGGCCGCCTAGAGGCACATAAAGGGCCGCCTAGAGGTACATAAAGGGCCGCCTAGAGGCACATAAAGGGGCCGCCTAGAGGCGCATAAAGGGCCGCCTACAGGCACATAAAGGGCCGCTTAGAGGTACATAAAGGGCCGCCTAGAGGTGCATAAAGGGGCCACCTAAAGGTACATAATTGGCCGCCTAGAGGCACATAAAGGGGCCGCCTAGAGGCACATAAAGGGGTCGCCTAGAGATACATAAAGGGCCGCCTTGAGATAGATAAAGTGACGCCTAGAGGCACATAAAGAGGTCACCTAGAGGCACATAAAGGCCCGCCTAGAGGGACATAAAGAGGTCACCTAGAGGTACATAAAGGCCCGCCTAGAGGCACATAAAGGAGCCGCCTAGAGGTACATAAAGGGCCGCCTAGAGGTACATAAAGGAGCCGCCTAGAGGCACGTAAAGGAGCCGCCAAGAGGTACATAAAGGGACCGCCTAGAGGCACATAAAGGGCCGCCTAGAGGTGCATAAAGGGCCGCCTAGATGCACATAAAGGGGCCGCCTAGAGGCACGTAAAGGGGCCGCCTAGAGGTACATAAAGGGCCGCCTAGAGGCACATAAAGGGCCGCCTAGAGGTACATAAAGGGCCGCCTAGAGGCACATAAAGGGGCCGCCTAGAGGCACATAAAGGGCCGCCTAGAGGTACATAAAGGGGCCGCCTAGAGGTACATAAAGGGCCGCCTAGAGGCACATAAAGGAGCCGCCTAGAGGCACATAAAGGAGCCGCCTAGAGGCACATAAAGGAGCCGCCTAGAGGCACATAAAGGAGCCGCCTAGAGGCACATAAAAGAGGCACATAAAGGGGCCGCCTAGAGGCACATAAAGGGGCCGCCTAGAGGCACATAAAGGGCCGCCTAGAGGCACATAAAGGGGCCGCCTAGAGGCACATAAAGGGGCCGCCTAGAGGCACATAAAGGGCCGCCTAGAGCCGCCTAGAGGCACATAAAGGGCCGCCTAGAGGCACATAAAGCCGCCTAGAGGCACATAAAGGGGCCGCCTAGAGGTACATAAAGCCGCCTAGAGGCACATAAAGGGCCGCCTAAGCCGCCTAGAGGCACATAAAGGGGCCGCCTAGAGGCACATAAAGGGGCCGCCTAGAGGTACATAAAGGGCCGCCTAGAGGTACATGCCGCCTAGAGGCACATAAAGGGGCCGCTAGAGGCACATAAAAGAGCCGCCTAGAGGCACATAAAGGAGCCGATTAGAGGCGCATAAAGTGCCGCCTAGTGGTACATAAAGGGGCCTCCTAGTGGTACATAAAGGGGCCGCCTAGATGTACATAAAGGGGCCGCCTAGAGGTACATAAAGGGGTCGCCTAGTGGTACATAAAGGGGCAGCCTAGAGGTTCATAAAGGGGCCGCTTAGAGGCACATAAAGGGGTCGCCTAGTGGTACATAAAGGGGCCTCCTAGTGGTACATAAAGGGGCCGCCTAGTGGTACATAAAGGGGCCGCCTAGAGGTTCATAAAGAGGCCGCCTAGAGGTACATAAAGGGGTCGCCTAGTGGTACATAAAGGGGCAGCCTAGAGGTTCATAAAGGGGCGGCTTAGAGGCACATAAAAAAGCCGCCTAGAGGCGCATAAACGAGCCGCCTAGAGGCGCATAAAGAAGCCGCCTAGAGGCACATAAAGGAGCCGCCTAGAGGCACATAAAGGGCCGCCTAGAGGCACATAAAGGAGCCGCCTAGAGGCACATAAAAGGCCGCCTAGAGGCACATAAAGGGCCACCTAGAGGCACATAAAGGGGCCGCCTAGAGGCACATAAAGGAGCCGCCTAGAGGCACATAAAGGAGCCGCCTAGAGGCACATAAAAGGCCGCCTAGAGGCACATAAAGGGCCACCTAGAGGCACATAAAGGGCCGCCTAGAGGCACATAATGGGCCGCCTAGAGGCACATAAAGGAGCCGCCTAGAGGCACATAAAGGAGCCGCCTAGAGGCACATAAAGGGCCGCCTAGAGGTACATAAAGGGCCGCCTAGAGGCACATGAAGGGCCGCCTAGAGATACAT